ACAGTACATTTGATCGTGTTTAGGCGTTCTGCGTGCGTTTTCATTTTCTCGCTGAAAGCTTCTGGCTGCACAGATTGGGAAGAAGGAATGACGGAGCCACGGTGGTTGGTGCATATAGCTGGATGCAGCACCGATGACAAAAAGGACACGAACAAAGGATTGTGTATCCAAGCCGGGATGGATTTATCGGTTTAGTCTTCATTTGTACAGAATATGCATCTCCTGCAGCTGCCCCTGTGCAGGTTGCCTTGTTACATTTTTTTCATTGTTTTGGCTGCAGGAGCCATGGTGCAAGCCTTACGCATGAGCTGAATTAGTGGAATGACCTGAATGACCTTTTATAGACTGTGAGATGAAAGCTGAAATAAGGCAGCATGGAAACCTTCTAAATTGTTTATTACCGCAATTATTTTAGGCAAAATGCACAATTTCAATTTTGCAGTCTCAGCAGAGTAAAGGTTTCCTTCCAAACATAGAAGCTTCCTGCTGCCCATCCCTTTGTTCAGCAAACTGTAGCACACACAAAACTATATATATATATATATATATATATATATATATATATATATATATATATATATGTGTATGTATGTATGTATGTATTGTTACTATAATTTTTTAATATTGCTTCCCTGCACAGAAATTGATATTTTATTTTTTATTGGAACACGCATTGATATATTACACTTTCAAGGTGTAACCCCTTTAAGAAGCGGGTCCTAGTTAGACGTGCAAATTTTTGTTGAAGTGAAAAAAATATGAAAAAGCAGACTAATAGTTAAGTAACAATTGCAGAATTTTTTAAACCAGTTAGTTAAATAAAAAACCTGGAATCTATACATGCAAATTAAAATCCCTAAAGGGATGCACATCCATTTGCATCAATTCATTACATTAGTGGGCTAAGTCCAAAACGAACAGAAAAGGCGAAAGTGTGTTTCCATGAAGGAACGTTCCCTTTAAACAGCGCGGGGTGTTCACGTTACCCTTGTGCGTGGCTGTGGCATGCGTGATGTATTTATTTGCCTCCCACGCAGCATGTAGAATATTGTGCAGAACCAGATGCTGTTGGTTCCTCGTGGGACCAGACACCAGGCCAAACTGAACACACAGTTTGTTACAAACCATGCTGCACCAGAGTAATACTTATTCAGAATATTGTAGGGTTGGTATGTTTCAAATATATATATATATATATATATATATATATATATATATATATATATATATATATATATATATATATATATATATATCATTTATTATTTTGTGTAGTTGCATCTTCTTTATGGCAAACGTGCACGCGCATTGGCTTTTCCACCACAAAACTTTAGTTGGCGCGTATTCAGGCCGGACTGTTATGGATGAAGCAAGTCACAGCTGAGCCTGTTCACCTGTTCTGAAGCCGCCGGGTGTGTGCAAAGGCAGAAGCCTTCAGGATGCGCAGGAGCGTACGACTCTTTTAGTTAGCTTCCTGCAGGACGCATTTTGCTGGTAGGTTCCGGACACAAGAAGCCGATTCACGCTGCGCCGATGCACGCGTGCATGTCGCGCTGCAGAAAGTCAGGTAGGTGGTTTCAAGGACGTTCGAGGCTGAAGAGGATTTGGTTTGGTTTGGGGGGGGGGGGGTAGTGATGGGGATGGAGAGAGGGGGTGTATGGCTTGGGCCCCGGGCCATGACGTCATTGTGCGTCCATGTAATCCTCTTGCGCTGAAGCCCAATCAGCAGAGACTCGCAATTGTCTATAGGATGGGAAGAGAGGGGCGCTCTAATCTGGGAGACAGTGGATCACACAGCCCGCAAGAGAGGAGAGCGAGAGAGGGGGTGAGCATCCAGCGCTGGATTTTGTTCGAAATGGGTCAGATTAAAGACACGAGACCGAAAGGAACTGTCTGTGAAAGGGGGTGGGAGGAAAGGACTCTACTGGAGACAAAGACGCAGTTTTCCATCATAGAGAAAGAAAACGGTATAAAACCAACTTTCAGGCTGCACCGGCGGAACCAGAAGCACTTCTGAAGAATATCATAACGTTAAATAGGCATAGTGGGAGCTGCATGAGAGGCGAGAAGAAGCTTCGCGCGTTTTTTCCGAGGGCGTTGATCATGCATGGACGTCCAGGAACTGCCTCCAAGCCAAGTCCAATGGAACATACAGTGCTGTTCGCTGTGGGATGTACGACTTCAGACGCACAGCCTTCTGGCTCTTTGCTCGTTGTGTTTCTGTAGCTTTGCTGCATGTAGCTCGAGCTGTCACTCCAGGCGAGGTAAAATGATGCGTAAAGACACACAACCAACGCCGGATCAGAGTCTGTGAGAGCCGTGTATAGTGTTTTTTTGGGTAGAAGTGTGTTTTCACGCGGTTTGAACGTGAGCTGCATCCTGGTGGGGCTTTCTGTCGAGCTGTGGCGCAGTGATATCAATAATTCTCTGAGGCGCAGGAGACGGATGTGGCGCTACTGCTGCTGCAGGCTGTAAATCGGCTTTGAGATTGGAGTTCCTAAATGAGTGTGTGCGTGCGCGCGTGACAAAGATGCAAATCGGCTTTGGTGTTGTGTGCGTGCGTGTCCGGGCGCGCGCGCGGAAATGGGCGCTGCTGATAAATCGCGGGTATGCAGTTCTACATCCTCCATGGCGGAAGATGCAGGGAGTTGGAGCGTGCCGGGAGACAGACCCATCAGCAGGGTGAGACATCTTTGAGGGTTGTCACTCTGCGTGTTCACAGCGGACCTTGATTTAATGTCCATACAATTAAGGCACGCGGTGAATGCCAAGAGAGGAATCTGCACAGCAACATTTTTATTCCCTCTAAATGACATCAGGACGCAGTTTGTGTGACCCTTAATCCAGAAGAAAAACAGGCCCTGAGCGCCAATCAGATAGCAGCACTTTGTTTATTTGTGATTAGGGGGGTGTAGCTGTGTGTGTGTGTGTGTGTGTGTGTGTGTGTGTGTGTGTGTGTGTGTGTGTGTGTGTGTGTGTGTGTGTGTGTGTGTGTGTGTGTGTGTGTGTGTGTGTGTGTGTGTGTGTGTGTGTGTACTCAGACGGACGCAATGCGCAGGTTGCGCTTTTGTGGCATTAGTTTTAAACATTTGTAATTCATTTCGCTTCTGAATTCCAAACTATTCGTGAAGGTCGTTTCAATCCAAATAAAACGTGAGTTGCGCAGATACGCAAGAACCTGGATCCTTGCCAGATGTGGTCATCTTCATGTTTAATTACAACCGTCGAATCCGTGATAGTTGAACATTTAATAGTTTTTTCATATGCATCTTCGTTTTTACCTGCTGAAAGGTTGTCGGGATGCTTTCAAATCCCACTCGTCTTTTACATTTTACGTTTTACATTTCAGGCCTGAAATGCGTTCATAGGCGGTTGCAACATATGTAGATAAAGCTTGAACATAAATATCAGTTATGAGAATAATTAATGCATATTTAAATATGAATTAGGCTAAAAAGAACATTTCATATTTGTCATTTTGCTTTGGCTCGCCGAGCTAATGCACAAATGCGTATCTGATCATGGAAACATATTTAAAGCTGTCATAAAAACTGGACCCAGCTGCCTTGGAGTCTTGACAACAGATTTAGTTCCTTCTTTCCTTTTCTTTTGATTTGTAATGTCACACAAACAAACCGTTAAAGCTCGATAAGGAGGCTCCCAGTTCTCATTCCACCACAGCATCACTGAGTCTCAGGTCCACAGCAGCAGCTGAGAAGACATGAAGGAATATTAACAGCTGCAGTGTTGTCAGGGATGCACGTGAATTAGTGCCATCTACAGGCGACCTTCTGACTTTGCAGCTGTCAGTGAGTTTCAATAATAAACACTAAATCAGCTTTCAGAAATTGCTTATTCTTAAAATTAAAAACAATGCTCTGAGTCGAGGTAATATTCAGAGTTGATTTGTTTTAGAAAGTTTTTAGAAATTTGAAAATATTTAATTGTATTTCCTTTTCAAATCATGAACCGCAGTGACCTTATATAATGGCACCCATTGGCTGATTTTGTTTTGGTGTAGGACTCTTTTCCAGCGAATCCCAACATGCATGGTTGAAGTGTTATGGTCCAAATCACACGTCATGTTGCCGGAATAACCAACAATAAGACCTACAATAATGTTGGTTTTGCCATTTTTATTGTGGGATGAAATGTATCTCCTCTTATGAATTAAACATTGAGATATTTCAAAAATATGCATCACTATATTTTAATAACATTTTTTTGCAAATGAGAGAAGAAAAAAACTTTATTTTAATAGAAATATTTTCAATGATTAAACAAAAATACTAAGTCTTTCATTTAATTTTAAGTCTGCCGAAAATAAATCCTGTCTATAATATTGACTGGTTTTGCTACAGTGTAATGAAATAAACTCTGGATATCAAAATTTTTTCTGCCTTTTTGTCATTATTTTTTGTACAAACGCTCTTGCTGCACCTATACATTCTGATTTTGTCTAAAGAAGACGGATGCAGAACCTCCTTGCTGACCTACGAAGCATTCAGCCAGTAATGAAGATCTTGTGCAGCATTTAACAGTTTGTATTACGTAGGGGCAAAAGAAAATGTGCTGTTCTTTGTAAAAAGCTATTTAATGTGGTGTTATGTACTTGATTCTGTGACTGAAAGAGACCAACGTAGGTTCTACAGTATCAGCACCATGGACAGCTCCTGCAGAAAAAAACAGATACTCTACACTTATGGTGGAATAATCAGAGGTTGAGATTAATAAATAAAAAATACCCCACATTGGTGTTCTTCTGACAAGCATGTGAATTCACAAATGCATCCTCAGCATTATATATATATATATATATATATATATAGTTTCAATTGCATTTAAAATGTCTAAATGTTTATTAAAAACTGAATAAATGTAAATAGTGATGTTCAGAGTGAACGTGGTGTCTCTCCTTTGACAGCAACAGTTTAGCCTCTTAGGAGATAATTAAAGACGATGTTTAAGAAAACAAGAATTGACACGATGAAGACAGTAAATTCTGAACAGATAGTTTATTAAGGCTTGATTTCTTCTAGAAAGAAAAATCAAGATAAATCCTTTGAACAAGGTGTGTCCACTACAACATGTGGCCTTTTAGGTAATCAGAGTTTAGTATTTCTTCTAATTTATCTTTTAGCAGTGTTCAAGGCTGACCTGACATCCTTCGTGCACTAAACAACTATCCTTGATGTGCACGTGAGCACCAGTCACAACCAGTTCACTCTTCCTGAGGCAAAGAACAGAAACAAAAACAGGTTGTGGCTACGGCGGTGACATCCTTTAGCTTCTCACCTCCGCCCCATTCTCCACGGAACGCAGAGCTGTGTTGGTGAAGATGGACATCTCCATGGGGACGTGTCCACCGTATTGCTTGGATCAACCTACCCTTTTGGCTAGTGCAGGTAAAAAGGAGATTAGCAATAGATGCTAATGTTAGAAGTCATTACAGGGCAGGTAAAAACACAAGCCAGCTTCTCGAAGTTACTTCTGTGAAATGTACAGTTCACCCTTGAGCGACTAGCAAAGTGCTAAAGTCAATCCACCGTTACCATCACGGGGTAGACAATCCAAACAGATAATCTAACTGAAAACAAAAATGTCATGTCCTGCTCACAACTATTTAAAATCATCTGTTTGATTCAAATCATTTCAAACAGGAGCTTTTGCAGTGAAATCGTTCACATCAGATTAAACTTCTTACATCATTTCACATATCTTCAAATGAAAGCAGCAGCCATGTTTGGTGTTTCTGCATCAGTCACCCTGCGAGCCACATTTTACCAACAATCACAACTCTTCCCGACAGAACCGGCTCGTCTCAAACGCCGCGTTTGGGCTTTGAATGTCTGCTAAACAGCAGTGACCTCAAAGGAAAGGCATATGGAGGATATTGGCTTCAAGTGACCGTATTTTACAGCTTGCCATGCATGTGCACATACATCTGTCTTTTGAAGTTTTTTTTTTTAAGCTCAGGATGTCCTGAATCATCAACAGTTTCAGGCTAAAACAAACTAGAGTTAAACGAAAAAACACACAGAAACCACAATTCATTCTTCTTTTTTGTTTGTTTCTTACTCGATATTAAATCAGTTACATTACTTTTTAGGTTATACATTTTTAGGCTTTCTCCATGAATATATACTCCTACGTTAAAGCTCAGCATTACAAATTCAAGAAAAAGGAAAACAAACAGGATTAAGACAGAATGACGGTGAATGGACAAATATGCAAACCCTTCCCACTGTTTGTGACAAATAACAGTAATAATTCAACTTAGATGTTACATCATTAAAGGAAATTGTGACGTTGGATGAGACAATTCTCTCAGACTGGGTTGTGTACATGAGCAGAACCTTCTGTTGGAACACACAACGAACCCTTTTAAGACAAACACCTAAAGAAAGCATAAGGAGAGGGATCTGATGGGTGTCATAAGTACAATTTTCTGATTTAAATGGTGGGAGTTCTGGTTGCAGAGGACGTGTCCGTTATTTCGTTTCCCAGAAGCCTTAGCGTTTCCTCCTCTGAAATGGTTCAAGTCCCGTGTGGCTTCACACTATCCCTGATTTCTCCAGCACTGTTTTAACAGTTCTTTTGAGAAGTCACTGATAATTAAAAAATAATAAGGCTCCAGAAGACAGGTTTTGAAAATGAAAAATGTCAGTAGTAAGCCAAAAAATAGAGATCTTGTTGATTTGAATGTAAAATAGATAAACCGTTGAAGTTTTTTTTAAATCCCAGTTCCAAGTCCGACATTGCCTGTAGGATCCTCCAACCCCGTTGGCACAGTTGAACCGATAAAGCATGGCAACGTGTCCCCCAAGTGGACAAATAGGTGCATGACACATTTGTTCCTGATTGTACTGAAATATAAAGTGGCAGATTGGTATTTCTTTTTAGTCCATGGTGCAGTCAAACCCTGATTCAATTGGAAAAACGTTGGGAGAGGGAACAAGCGAGCAAAAACCTGTCCGGTGAGAGAAGAGTACGAGATGGAACAAGAAGAAAAAAGTGGATTGAAAACTCGAGTGAGGTGGCTGCTGGGTAATACATTTAATCAGTTTGTTATCGCTTCACAAGAATCAATGATGGGGGGAGGGGCAGAAGTCTCAACAAAGGAGGGAATTTACCAGGATTAAATTAAAATAAAAAAGGGCTTGGTTGCATTTTCATTTTCTTCTGTCTTTAAATTGAGTCCTAGTGTAAGTCATCAAGCCATGGATCTTCTACTGCTTATTCCGGTTTTGGCGCTCCTGTTTGGAAAACAAGAAATCAAACCATCAACTCATGAAGTACAAGAACAGTGAGGCACAAGCATGTAAAATTCAAAACAGTAATTAAACACATTAAGTGTTGTTTTGTAAATGTCATCTGATTTATTTTATTTGAACATGCAAATTTATTTTGTGTAGCTCAAACAAAAAATACACAAAAATTACGTCTTTAAATAGCAAAGATAACAAAGAAGTAGAACAGTACACTTATTTATTTTCTATTCATTGACTCTTGGTAAGAGCTGGACTTAAACCCCCTATTAGAAAATCTAACATGGAAACAAAGAGTTGTTTACCTGATCCAACCGAGAGCGGCTCTGAATCGGAGCAGGTTCAAAAGTCTGTCAAAACAAACAAATGAGACAAAAACTTAATAATTAGTCTCTGTAAACAAGAAGTTAAAGAGAAGCTAATTAAAGGCAGGTGGTTACATAACCACACCCACCTTGCGCACCTCCTCCTCCTCCTCCTGCCTCTTCTCATAATGGGAGAAATCATCAAAGATGGAGGTGGTGTGTTTGTAGGTGGCGATGATCTTCAGCACCTGCTTGGCCTTCTCCAGAGGAACCTCCTGGGTGTCGCGGGAGTTGGTCACTGGCTTGTTGTCGTTGTTTTCCAGGCGGATGTGACGCAGCTGACTGTTTGGCACATCCTTAACAAACAACCAGTCCACATCGAACTTGCCCTTCCACTTGTCCTGTGCCCAAACACCAGCGCTGGTCCCATAGTCCACTGGCGAACGCATTTCTGCCACACCGCAAAAATGGCCGCTGCCATTGACACTGAAGAGCAGGTACACAGGACCTTTACCATTCATGGCCCGGAAAGCCGAGTCCAGCCGCTTGTTGCCGTGCTCAGTGCTGCACCAGATGGAATACTTAATGGAGCGGTGAATATCGTCCTCGGAGTAGCTCTTAATGATGAAAATACGACCATTCTTCAGGTTCCAGTCAAAGTCCTTGGGGTTGTAACTATGGGCGGCACGCAACTTGTCTAGCACCGGGTGGGATTCTCCACCAGGACCCTGACCAGCAGCCATTTGAGGGCCGTTGTTCACACCACCAACGACTCCCATCATACCACTTCCATCTTGGCCAGGGCCCCCCTGCCCATAAGCCTGGTTGCGATTGCGAGGTGCAACCCAACGGGTTTGGGGCTGAGGTGGCTGGGTGTGGTTTTGGTAGGGTTGAGGTTGTGGCTGATGGTGCTGGTGATGGGAGGGGTGGGGCTGTAAGGCCATAGGCTGAATCTGCGGTTGCACTAAAGACTGGGGAGGAGGGGGTTGCATGGGTCCTTGAGGTGGCATTGCATGAGGCAGGCCAAGAGGCTGCTGCTGTTGCTGTAGGGGGGGTGGAGCTACTTTAGTCACCGGGCCCTTGTCCCAGGTCCCAATGTTCATGTTGTGTTTGATTGGTGGTGGGGGCAGAGCTCCTCCTGGACTGGGCATCCCTGGCTTAATCTTAGCTTTGAGCAGCGGTGGTTTGGCAGGCTTGCTAGCAATGGCTGCCCAAGAGGTGGGTTTGGGTGGAGGCATTCCAATAGGTGTGGCACCGTTTCCTGTAGCCGCCACAGCAGGTCCGCCAATCACAGATCCCACAGCCTTGACTCCTGTTCCCTGACCAGGGACATCCCCTCCAATCTTCAACCCCACCATACCCTGCTCTAGGCTGTTCATACCGGGGGCTTTATTCAGGGTGTCATTGTGAAAGCCAGTCTGACCATCAGGCACCAGAGTGCCCCCCAAAGAGCTAGGAGGATAACTATAGCTGCCACCATAAGCTGAACTTTGAGTCTGCTGGCCCTGGGAGCCACTTGTGCCCCAAGCAGAGAAGGCAGGGTTTTCAGGGAAAAAGTTAAACCTGTGGGGGTAGATACTGCTTCCCAGTCCACCTGGCTGGCCAAACACAGTATCCGGCATGAAGTGATGGTCTCCATTACTCAAAGGTCCATAGGGCGTGAGGTACGGAATAGGGGGATCTCCACCAGTGGACCAGGGAGCCTCACTTAGCGTGTACGGAAATCCAATGGATGGAGCATAGTAGCTTGACAGGTAGGGATCGGTGATGGACTGGTAGCTGTTATTCTGAAATAATGTCAAAACACGTGATTAAAATTAAAAACTATGTTTGTCATGTTGTTGCCAAAGAGACCGCTTTACCTGAGTAGATTGACTGGTGAGGTATGGCTCAAAGTCGTTATCATGGACAGTCTCCTTATGATGCAGCGAACCATTTTGCACTGCAAACACAAATAAAAGCCAAGTTTACTTCTAAAGCAGGAATGTGTTTAACTGAAATCAACATTTTTCATCTTTGCTTTGATAAGAATATAGCAAGTCATTTAGCACAAAGAGAAAAAAATTAGAAAATCTCATTTGGTGAGCCTTGTTAAATGCCTCTGTGACGCTAGATGACTCAAGACTGGCTTGTCATGATTCCTCCTCCTACAACTGATCAGAGATGGCAAGAAGCCCCGACACCCCCAAAGCCTATTTTGTTAAGAGCAGATATTTTCTCATTAACTAGATCAGGGACTGAATGCAAAAAAAAAAACTAATCTAGTTCAGTTATCACTCCGCTCAGTAGGAATAACTAGCAGTTTTCTTCTTGGGATGAACAGAAGCAGAATGCAGCTAATAGAAATATTCTTGTAACACAAACAAAGGTATCACAGTACAGGGTTTTGGGTCTAAGCAGAAGACACACTGTCCCTGCCCGACACCTAAATACACAAATCATTATTTTAAAGCTACAAAGATGAGTGTATTACAATCTAAAGAAAATAAACTAAGCTAAAAAATAATTTCATCCAAACATATATCTATTGTACATTTTTTATTTACGTATCCTACAATATTTGTTAGGGAACACACGCCCAAAACAATTACCTCAACCAGCACCACATCCTGTTCCCCTTTAGTCAGCTGTCAGATTGATGCCAGAATTTTCTTATGAGAAAATAAAACTGGCCAAAAATACAAATGCTTCAAAACGACACAATGCTTTTCCATAAATCAGTTTTCTGAAATGCCCATCTCCCTTTGATGAGACCATAAAGGTTTCAGTGAGATGAGTCTCGTAGAAAACATGAATATCACAAGCCGCTGTCCTTTAAATCACAAGTCAACTTTCATGGGAATCCTAACTGTGGTAGTTTCATTCAAACCTCTTTTCAGACTACATTATTTTGAATTCTTCCCACTGAGGATTTAAAATCTTCACCTGACCAGCAAGGCCTCCATCACTCACCTTTAGACGCTTGTCCCTTTGATCTCTGCATCCAGGTCGTGTTAGAAAAAGAAAAAGAGGTTAACACATTTTACTTTCAGTGCACATCTTGGTGTTACATTTTCATTACCATGAACACATTAGAGGAGGTTAGAGGTATTGTTTACTAAATTACACAGAAATGTGCATCCCTGAGTTAGAGCTAATTCGCTTCTTTATGTAACACAGCTTCCTTAAAAGGCTTTCTGAGCGCTGCTGGTGTAAATGCAGCATGTTTTCAGGGTTTGAACAAGAAGCTGCGCTTGTTGTGGTTGACGAAGACACAACACGTTCCAGTAAGTTACTTTTCAATGAGTGACCCTGGCCCATTATGTAAATCTGTTTACGTTAACCAGCTTCCAATTGTTTTCCCCCCAGCTACGTGATCTCAAAACCCATTTCTGCAAAAGACAATGAGATGCAATCAAAGGAAATGTGTCTTCTTCCTAACACGTTCTGTAAAAACCTTCGTCTATTTCACGGAATGCATCGAACTAGCTAGCTACATGCCAACGCTAGTGGCTAGCTAGTACTTCCGAGGAATAGCCATAGCCCAATGCATCGTTAGCAGGTTCTGGCGAAGAGGCACGTCGTCCGTCATACCTGAGGGTCAATGCTTGTGGTAGACATAATTCATTAAGCAAGTCCCTGGTTTCTCACGGAGCCCGAGCTTGTCTCTGAATTTCAACCCTCGTGATTTGAAAGCAAGTTCACAGCTCAGTTGCAGTTAGCTGAGAGGCTAACAGTGCCGCTTAGCGTGTGGCTAGCAGTGGTAACAGCGCAGGCTCAGCTGAGTATTTTATCCCAACTTCCACAGTTCAAGTCAGTCGCCTCGGTTACTGTGTCCCACTGCTTTCAAGTCCCAGTTCAGTTTCTCAAGGTAAGGATGTGTGTAGCCGAGTGGGACCCTGGAGATCTTGAATGTTTCAGTCTTCGTTCGCCTCTTAGTCTTTTTTTAATTCCACAGAGAGAGCCCTGCTCAGTTACGTTAAAGCCCTGTGTACTTCCCCAATGGCTGCTCCATCCGGGCTCTGAGCCGCTGTAGTTCACACAGTTCCCCGCTCGGGGGCGACATCTCCTCCCTCCTACGACGGGACTCATAAACTATATTATTTACGGTAAACGAAGCCCCGCATTAGTCACGCAACAACAACAACAACAACAACAAAAAATCATAAGCACATTACAGCAAATGCAGAATAATATCAAGTACAATATCATTTTTAAAAACACGTCATTCCACACACGATTTGAAAATACATCATTATTAAAATTAATGCTTTTCAAAGCAATAGAAGAAAACACTTTGCACAGCATTAGTTTTTATTTTGCAATCACACTCATTTCAAACTATTCATTGAATATTCTCCCTTTTCATTTTGGAAGCTCATATTCTCCACTGTTTGTGTTTTCTGAAATGTTTTGCTTTTTGTTTTTGTGTTTCTAAGATTTCAACAGGTTTCAGCTTTTTTTGTGTGCGTGCTAGGCCTTGCTTTGTTTTGCAGCCCGGAAGCCTCATACATCTATTTTCTGCAGATCTGTGGGTGCAACCCGGGCCAGGAGGTGTCAGCAGACTGTGTGGTTTTCTGCAGGGCTTCTTAGATCTGACAGCTCACTGTAGCCCAGAGCCCATGTGAGACTTGCTGGTATTTAAAAGATGACACAGGACACATATATCTTAATTGCACACATGCTGACCCTCTGACCTCCTTCGCTCAAAGGCTCAGAACCGTTTCACAATATTCTAATTGTCCGAGATTTTGAATTTGGGGTTTTCTTAAGCTAAACCACAATCATCACAATTACATTAAATAAAGGTGTGGCATGTCTGGCTTTGTGTGTAATGATTCTATCAGATATATTTGTTTCCCATTTTAAGTTGAAGTACTGAAATAAATTAATTTTGCACCCAATAGTGGTTTTTGGTATGGGCAACCTGGGGGATGACATCTTGGGGGGTTCATATGCACCGATTGGTTCTGTATCATCTATTTGCAGGTCAGGGAGCAGCCAGGCGCATGCTGCAGAGAGGAGATTAGGTCTGCTCAAGTGGCTGACAGTAGATTATACTCTGTTGTTGTTGTTTATTCCATCTTCTGGATCTTTTTAAGCATAAAATCAATTAGCTCTTAACTGAATGAAGTATTTCATGAATTTGTCTCCTATTGTCAATGTATGGCCAGTTATAATTGTTTATTAGCTGTCTGCATACACTATAACCAGTATTCTGTTGTCTATTTAACTTAGCGGTAAATACATTTAAAAAAAATCACTCCCCCTATTGGTTACCTAGTGACTGGAAAGTTATTTTACTACTCAGTTTAGAAAGGTTTTATGAGCGAGTGTTTGCCCAGGGCATCAAACGGGCAAGGGCCACCCCTGTGATGGTCATTGACGTAACAGTTACACTTTTTGACCACTAGGTGGGGACAAGATGCAAAAAAAATCTCCTGAACAGTAAAAAGTTGGTTTTACTTTTATAAAATACTGTTGCATTTCGATCTTCAAATCAAATAAATAAAAACTGTATTCTAAATGTGTCAAAATGAGATAATTGCTGTATGTATTTGAGTAACTAGCAGCACTTAAGTGAAAACCCTAAATAAAAAGCAGGCTTTAGCACAGTTTTGCTGTTAGATGTAAACATTTGATGTGATCCGTAACTTTTTCTGTTACTGCATTAAACTGATAGAGTAATAGAGTCAAACTCTTTGTAAGAGAGACTCCAGAAATGACTTTCCTTCTTTTCCCACGAGGCGGAGCAGCACGCCTTGTTCTGGCTGTCATTCATTCAAGGTAGAATGAGCCTTTGTTCTGGCAGCTGGGGGATTTTCTGGAAACCAGTGTCCTGTAGGCTGCTGTGTAGGACCCACACACCTGATCGTGTTGTTTCAGCTGGTGTTCTGCACTCACCTTCAGTGTACGCTCCACTATGGACCGCAAAAGGGATGACTGGCCCTGGACAAAAAGATGATGGATGACAGGAGAACTATGATGCACATCCTTGATGAGCCCCAAATGCGTAGAGAAGAGCAGAGACTTCAAACCTTTCAAGACTGGCCCGAGGACGCTCCTGTGACAGCAGGGGACTTGGCCAAAGCAGGCTTCTTCTTTCTAGGCCACAGAGACAAAGTTCAGTGCTTCTGCTGTGGAGGGATTTTAAAGTGTTGGGTACATGGGGACAGCCCAGCTTCTGAGCATAAGCGGCATTTCCCGACTTGTTGCTTCATAATGGGCCAAGCTGTGGGGAATATTCCACTCCAAGCAGACTCCTCTGACTCTGTGGATGGGCAGCTCTTAAGTCAGATCCAAAGGATGACCATGGATGATCAGGGAACAGCTGGACAAGCCATCTATCCTGAGATGGAGGCAGAAGACTCTCGACTCACCACCTTCCATAACTGGCCGACTGAGGCCTCAGTACAGCCCGATGTTCTCGCCAGAGCAGGATTTTTCTACACAGGTACCCTCTTCATAAAAACATATCAGGGTTTTTTGCAGTAGTTGAGCACTGATACGAATATTTCAGTAAATATTGGACACAGACCTGGTTGCTGCCGGAGCTGTGTGGCATAGTTCATGCTACAATGGTCATGCTGAGTCAGGATGTTGTCTACAAAAGCACCTGGACAAAGCTCGGGCTGATACGCAAGTACAGCTTCACATGGTTTTATCAAACAAACCAAATAATCAAACATTTCTACTTTGTTTCTGGGATTTAGTGCTAGAAAGAACCAGAAAGTGGTCAGTTACAGAGATTATTGTTTGTATGATTTGACCCAGATGACCTCTTTTTTTCTTAGAATTAAGGAACAATTGAGCTAAACCATATTTTCTGAGTGTGCCGGTGCAGCTGCAAAGATCCAGTGGGTCAGTGTCACTTCCTTTTCACTGATTTCTTTGTTGTTGTTTAAACACAGGTCATGGTGACAATGTCAAATGCTTCTACTGTGATGGAGGGCTGAGGAACTGGGAGCCAGGGGATGACCCCTGGCAGGAGCATGCTAAATGGTTTCCACGGTAACAACAAGGAGACGTATCAACGTCAGTCTATCACATCCACCATTTTACTGGAAAACTGAATCCTTATGTGACTATCAGAGTTATCATCAGTGAGTCAGCAGCTGCGCTCTGGTTTCAGCATGAAGATGCAAATGTCAACAAGATACTTTAAAGGGATACTTTGCAACTTTTTCAAAATTTAATCATCTTCTTGAGCCAGTATTTGCTATAAAATTACCCTTTACAGGGTTAACGAAAGGTCACCAAGCCCCCGTCGCCCCCATGCAGCCAGAACACCGCATTTGCAACTTCAGACTGGCGGGACAGAAAAAAACTGAGCCGACTTACCTGGCGCTGCAGTCTGCTTCCAGCATGTTTTAGATCATGAACACAGCTGATTTGTATAATTTAGTGATTTAATGAATCACTCCCGTAGACACTAATGAAGGCTGGGGAGATGTTTCAGCTTTTAGATTAAGGTGTTGAAAAACAAATGCACAGCGAGGAGATAGATTTTGTTTTCGGTTCTACAAACGGACACTAGGAGGTGCTAAAGGCAAGCCAAAACTGCCCAGTTCCTCAATAAAATAATAAAGGCAGCTTTATTTATAAAGCACATTTCATACACAGAGGCAATTCAATGTGCTTTCCATTAGCAAAAATAGCATGAACATTAAAAATCAATGTGTAGCACAATCAACATACACACAAATTAATTTCACATTCAGAAAAACAAGTTTTAACAGTTAAAGGCAGAATATGCAGTTTTAGAAACATTCTTTCAAAGGCTGATGAATACATGAACGCTTTCAATTTTGATTTAAAAATTAGAGATGAGGCCCATTTGAGGTCAAAAGGAAGCTGATGCTATCTGTGTGCAGCATAGTAGCTAAAAGCAGCTTCACCCTGCTTGGTTCTGGCCCGGAGTACAGAGCCAAAGTAGATTTGAGTGTCAGTCTTTAGGTTGGTTTAAAATTCACAAAAAGTAAAACCAGGCTGACATGAATTCTAAAAAATATATTTTATTTTTGTTTAATTAAAACACATAAATGAATTTGAACATATCTGGGCAGCAGGTCTAAAACCAGCATCTTGTAATCCTCAGATGTGAGTTTTTAATCCAGTCAAGAGGGCAGGAGTACATCAGCAACATACAGGACACACATTTCCATCTGGGAGACACTGTGGTAAGAACACAAGCTTGTTTATCTCCTCAGGATCAAATCATGCACATAACTAAATAACAGGTTTTGTCACTGAAAATTATCATCTTAAATAAAACTAACTTATTTTCCAGGGAGGATCTCAGACTTCAACAGGAGATTTTGATTCAAGAAACAGTACGTTGTAGCATCAGTAGATCTTATTCTCACACAATTCTAATGATCTGCTTTGATTTCAGTGTTTATTATTGCACATTCTGCATTACAAATCAAATGTCAACAAGCCATCTCATTTGTTCCAACTAAAAGAGAAGAAACAAATGCTTAGGAGTGGAGTTGAGCTGCAGGCTGCAAGGATGGAGGAAAACCAGGCTGAAAGCCCTTCAGGATATTGTTTGCTCAATCAGAGAGGGAATTTGTGGATTTGATGAATGATCCCTGTTTAAAAAAAAAACACTGAGCAGATCCTCTGGAGGAAGATATTTTATTCTTTATATTTTTATTTTCTGCATGAGTTTGCAAACATGTACAAGTGACTCATCTGCACAAAATGAATATTGTTTAAGAAAACTCACCAGTTGGTTGTAAAGAAGTCATAACAGGTTCAAATGCACAATTTGTGTTATTTCCCCCCAGATTCCTCTTTGCATAACAACTTGAGCTTTGAGCCATGAGTGTGTGACATGATAATCAGCTGCTGGCTCTCTGGTCTCCCTCTCCTCTCTGTTCCCATTTTCCTTCAGATCTGGTTGGAAGTCGGGGCGCTTCATCGGCCATGCTTTCTCCTGTGGCTCAAACTGTGCTTCAGATGGGCTTTGAAGTGAGCCTGGTGGAGAGTCTGGTCCAGACCAAGTACCTCCTGACAGGCCAGCACTACACGTCTGTGTCTGACCTGGTTACCGATGTTCTGCAGGCTGAGGAGGACGACCGGCAGAGGGGAGCGGACAGCAGAGGTAACAGTTACCTCTCTTCTTTTCTAAAGTGTTTAAACAAGGCCACAATGTCTGTGATTTTACTTTTACAGGGTAGGATTAAAAACAAGTTTTAATAAAAGAACTCTATCCATCGCCTGTACCCGCTTATCTATGTTGGGTCGCTGGGGGCTGGTGCCTATCTCCAGCAGTCTACGGGCATGCTGGCAGGGTACACCCTGGACAGATTGCCAGCCCATCACTGGCTAATACACACACACACACACACACACACACACACACGCGCGCGCGCACACACACACACACACGCGCGCGCGCACACACACACACACACACACACACACACACACACCTAAGGACAATTTAGAGAGACCAATCAACCTGACAGCCATGTTTTTGGACTGTGGAGTACCTGGAGAGAACCCACATGCACACAGGGAGAACATGCAAGCTCCAGACCCCAACTAACCTGCACCACTGTGCAGCCCAAGGACTCCATCTTTTAAGATAATATTTTAGCTTTGCTTTGAGCTTTTGTTGCTTTCAGTCACACAAGAACCACCTTTCAATTGGAAATAAACAAATCTACTTGCATCTAGAGACTTCATGGTCTTCAATGCCAAAAGGAGCAGGTGGTGTCTTCTACAGCTGCCTTCAGAGTCTCTGGACCTAAACATGAAGGAGCTTCTGCAGGAAAACTTAAAGCTGTGAAGCTCACATGTTTTTGCCTTAAGGGGTTTTTTAACTGAAAAAAATAAATCAGTAATATACATAAAATATTAAACAAATGAGTAATATTTTATTGAATGTGTTTTAGAAACCAGGTCGTACTTATTCTTCAAAGCAGAAATAAAAACATTAATCAAACTTTGCATGAGATCAGAACACAAACCCACCCAGTAGATAAACTTTGATTTACTGATTCATTCATAATAAATAGAAATGGCAGAAGCAATGGAGGGTGCAAATCGGCATTTTTTTACTCTAAAACTGACAACATTTCACAGCTTTTGACATATTTGGTTCAAATTCATGGTGATGAAAGCCAAACTCAGATTTGGATTTCAACATTCATAAGATTGCTTTCATTTAAGCTCGTTCATCTGATGTGTTTGTGATTCAGAGCCAGAGGTGAGGCAGGCTACGAGTTTTGGAAATGGGAGAACACCAGCACCTGACCGAAACAGAGGTCAGTTTTCTTTAAAACCTGAAAGATGAATAAACAACTCCTTTATTTAGCACTGAGTGGGTTTGAGCTTGAGTGTCACTGGTTTCTGCAGCAGTGAAGGAGGGCAGTCCAGAGGAGCTGCTGAGGCAGCTGCAGGAGGAGAGGACCTGTAAAGTGTGCATGGACAAGCTGGTGTCCATCGTCTTCATCCCCTGTGGTCACCTGGTTGTCTGTGAAGACTGTGCTGCCAGTCTGCGTCACTGCCCCATCTGCAGAGCCGTCATCAGAGGCAGCGTTCGTGCTTTCATGTCCTAAGTGAAAAGCCGCTCTAGTGCAGGCGCCCTCAGCTTTCCTCTACCCTCCATTTTTGATGAAAACAAGAGCGCTGGATGATTATTTTGTGTTCCACATTTATTTTCTATTCTGAAAAATGTGATTAAAGGAGACCTTGAATCTTTAAAAGAGCTATTTTTTTATTAACAAACACGTATTTACAAGAACACAAAGCACAGTTCTGGATACATCGCCACATGGTTGGAGCACCACAGGACAGAAAACATTTCCACTGCTACGAAGAGAGAATTATAGACAAGAGGTGGACACTTTTTCACCAGATACACACCCATGACTAATCTCTCTCTGAGATAAATACATTGTATTGCACTAAGAGGAAGACATTATTTTTTAACAGAATTTTACTACTGATTATGTCACCTTTTCTGAAATGCTTTGTTTTTTCATCCAGATTGCTCACATACAGTTCATTAAAAAAAATTGCACCTCTTCACAAGCTTAGACCAGTCAAAGTAATTATCAGAAGAAATGTTGAGTTCATCTGTGATATACTAATGAAAAAAGAACAATCGGTTGTTCTGGCAGTGGAGTGATAATATGAAAGAATCTGGAATTTTAAATATGGGTGCAGATAAAAGAAAAAAGACAACTTCATTAACTATAAGCCAACTTCTTTGTTCAGAAATTTCTAATTAATAAACGTGGAAGTTGTAAACAATGACACAGTAGTCAGACATTAAAGTCAGCAGGTATGTTGTTCCATAAACAAAAATATATGAAAATATATGTGATGAAAGAGGAGAAAATAAGCAGGAAAATGATGATTTTTGTAGATTAGAAGTTGTGATTAAAGTCTTTGAACAGCAGAGGGCAGTAGTGATTCACAATAAACATGAGGCAACAGAAGAAGTGAAAACTGGCGTTAAGTACAAAAGAATCATAATTCACAATGAGGCCTGACCATGAGCATCGACTTCTTACACAACTCTACCATGACTCTGAATCAGAGTCTAAAAAATACACAAAACAAGACGAGCAGATTTCTTCTAACTGTTCATCAGCTTTATCAGTTTTGCTACTTTTTGTGTTTTAATACGCGATTACAATGCAAACCTTATTAAAACATGCTACAGTCACTCTGAGGATATTAACACATAAAAAATGATTTCAAATGTTGATCTGATGAGAAGAAGCTCTGATCTGTTTTCTGCCCAAACGGTTCAGATGAAACAATTTCTATTGTCTTCAAGTTAAAAATACCGTGTGGGACCTTTTCTTGAGTGTGTGTAATGATCGCTCTCGTCTGAGCTGTCTGCTGCTGGAGATTAGAAGATTGGAAACAAAGCTTCCAGCTCTTTGGCTAACACAACACCCGACACTTCAGAAAATCTGTTGCTCAGAAAATAGTCACAACTACACAACTCCAGACTAAAACACTTGCATGCCTCTCTTTGTGTTCGAACACCTCTTGCAGGTTTTTCTGCAGACTTCAGTTGCAATTCAAACTGAATTTCATTATTTACACGCTCTATTTTTGTCAGACTCCCCTGTTGTTTTGGTGCTTTTGTTCCCTCTCCCTCTCTTGGCTCTTCCTGCGTTGCTTCTGTATTTATGCAAACAGATTTGAAAGTAAACAACTCATTCCTCCACAGTAATTCAGCCCCATGGTCGAGATCTGTGCCAAACTGACAACAATAGGCTCAGTCTGAGACCTCTCTAGACTGGGACTGCTGGGCAGTCCATGATTGCACACAGAAAGTATTTACTAGCTGTACATTTTTTTTTACAATGGAGGATGTTAGCTTGTGGTAAAAGGTCACAGAGAGAAAATAAATGATCCACAAATCTTCCAAAATACACACTTTGTTTTATGGCAAATCCACCCTTATTCCCTAAATCTCATCACAATGAACTCTTGTTGAGAAACTCTGGGTTTTCTTGGAAGCACACCAGTAAAATGACATGTTTAAAGTTCTGAAATCAAGAAGGGGAGGAACGTCTGGTGTGGCAAGGAGCAGCCCTTTTGGCTCTGGGGGAATTTACTGTATCACCTCCCTCGCCGCGCCGTTTTCTATTTACGTAGACCTGGAGAGGACAGAAACATGAAAGCAGAGAGCAGGGGATTAGCAAGTCTTCAGTTACCCGTGCACACACACACACACACACACACACACACACACACACACACACACACACACACACACACACACACACACACACACACACACACACACACACACACACACACACACACACACACACACACACACATTCCTAGGTGAAATTTGTCAGGATATAACTCTCCATAGGGCGGGGGGACAAAAGCTCCCCCCTGTCCTTCTCCCATTAGAGATAAAGCTGATTAAACTGTCAGGAAGCTGTTAAAACATTCATATGCTGGTAGAGAATTATGACACATGTTCCCGGGTTTTATTGTTAGTAACATTTCTACAAAAATAAATTAGTCCGACTACGTTCTGTATGTTCTTTATGAAGGGCTTCTGTCTGTAGCAGCTTATTGCATGGACACACACACACACACACACACACACACACACACACACACACACACACACACACACACACACACACACACACACAGCTATATATTCCCTAAACAATGATACAAGATGCGGCATGTTTCAGGCCGTAGGTTACTCCCCGTGAACATCTCGCTCTCCCTGCAGCTCTAACTCTTTCTAGCCGGTCCTGTTTTCTAACCCGTCTTCATCTTCAGCAGATAATAAATAACACTGGGATGAGCATACACATGAGACATGATTTGATACACACACACACACACACACACACACACACACACACACACACACACACACACACACACACACACACACACACACACACACCTTTATGATGAAATCATAAATATTCACAAAGACTGGTCTCAGAATAACACTTAAAAAGTCTTTGATTTCTGTGAAAAAGTTATGGACAATAAATAATGTACCTGTTGTAGATGGCTCGTTGAACAGCCTCAGTTTGGAAAAGTAGAATTTATTTGCTGATCTAATCGATAGACAAACTAAGGTGAGCTACAGAGGAGTGAGATCCAGAGTTAATTTATGTTGGCCTTGAACAACTTTAGTCCCAAACAGGTCATAGTGGTATAAATACATATTATTTTATGAATATCCCCACCTGACATTATTATTGACGCAGAAATATTAAATTCCAGCCAGAGATGCAAATAGCCATTTGCCTCCATGTAAAAAAATACCTCAATAAAGGCAATTTAATCAGTTCTAATATCTATTTTGCCAGGTTTCTTAAAGGTGTGGTTCAATCAATACATTTGCATTGGTCTTCAGTAATGAATGACTTCTATGTTGTACTCTGGGTGAAAAAAGCCCTGGCGCTCCCGTTTCAGGCTCTAGAGGATTGCCAGATTAGAGGAGAGCTTCAGATGACAGGATTTTGTGTCTTATTTCCTGATATTTGGACATCTCTCCTCTGATTGGCTAACAGCAATGCAACTCTTCCACTGACTCAGTTTACTTTGCAACATGTATGTTTTACCCCAGCAGTAACACAAGTTTGGAGGAGTTCTGCCGTGTGGTGGAGTTGCTAATGCTCTAGCTTCTACTAGCCGAGATGTTCTCTGCTGTTTCCTGGGCACTAAACCGCCAACAGCCTTCCTGTCACAAGTCAAGATGGGTGAGTCCATGAGTGTTAACTGACAGTGTGACATAGATCTGTCAGGTTTTTCTAATCCTAGAGTTTCAATGTCAATATTTTCTGTCAGAAGCTAATGCAGGAGATAGGTGTAGGAGACTATTTTCATGTCCAGTTTGCATGAAAAACTCAGAGTGATCGATTACAATAAGAAAAAAAAAGTTTTTTTCAGTTAACTACATCTTTATAGATGAGATATTCTTCGCTCAAAACCTTTCCTTCTGAAGTCAAAAGTCTAAAAACCAGAGCCATCCCTTCAGGTACTAAACACACTCACACACAGATACTTACGGGTGCATGGGCTTTAAGAGGAGATGAGATGGTTTTTCATTGACATGGTAGAGTGGGAATGGATCAAATCCACCAATAAAATCAACTGAAAATAAAAGAATAAACAAATGACTTGTGGGTCAAATGAAAACAGAGAACACAAAACACACTATAAAGGGTACGAATGTAATAAAGAAACTAAGTGGAAAATGAATAGAATTGAAATGGAAACAAAAGTGATGGGAACAACAGTTTAATGCTGGCTTTTAGCCCAAAAGTAGCTTTCTGAAACAGTTTAGGGGTCAAGTCTGTGGCTTTAGCTTTGACAAAAATTACGGATCTGTACCAGAACACCTGGGAAGAGGTGAAAGCTGGCTAGCAGTTGAAGTGATCCAAATCTTTTTGTCACACAGAAAGAAGAAACGGTTATACAATAAACTCACTACTCTTTCTCTTAAACATTCAAACTAGCAGATGAGTCATAGAAAGAAACAAAAACATGACACGTGTTTCCCTCAGGAACATTTTTGAGACGAAGGAAAAGCCTTCAACTCTATGAGGGGGAGGGGGGCAGTGAGTGGGGGAAGGAAAGGGGAAGACAGGGAGTGTTACGCTTGTCGATCTGACTGACGGGGGCTGAGGAGATTAAGTTCAGGGAGTGTGTGTAAAAGAGGACAGCATGTAGCTGTGAGTCTCATGTAAACAGCATGTGAGGGAAACCGGGAGAAGCGGAGTCTGAACCCGATTCAGATGAAAACAACACAGGAGAGAAACAGGAAAATTGGGAAATCTGTTCCACACTGGGATTTAGCAGCTGTGTGCAGAAAACACAAAAACGTTCATGGAAACAATTCCTGATAAGAGGAGGCCGCGGTGGTCTGCTGAATACTGATAGGTGGGGTTCTGCTGTTTCCTATGACCCTGCCCTGCTTCCTGGAGACACACACACACACACACACACACACACACACACACACACACACACACACACACACACACACACACACACACACACACACAGTCCAGCCATTGCTCTACAAATAACATTCTCATTACAAGTGTGCCACAATAAGCAACGCTGATGATATCCACACACACACACACACACACACACCCAACAGCTCAACACACACCAACGTCAGGTCGAATCATCAGTCTTAGTTTCTGGCTCAGACTCAAATATCCTGACACCAATTCAGATATCAGAAGTACAAAACTCTGATTTATTATTCAAACTTAAAAGCAGGAACATTTATTTTATATCAGGGACAGTTTCCCACAGGTTTGGAATCTCAGCCACATCAGACTTTCTGATGAGCCTCAAACCTTTAGAACCTCATGAAATCCTTCATCGACTACTTTGCATCCCTCTTTCATGACAAGATGTTTTCTGTATCTCAGATTTTGCTCTCAGGACAATGCTGCCACATACTCCCTTGATACCGGCACGTCACATGCCCTAAACTGGCATAAAATGTCACACTAGCCTAATGTTACATGGTCATAATTTAGATATAAGATTGTCAGAACCCCAATACCTCAAAATGCTGCAACCCTGCTCCAGAAAATGTGTGCTAGAAGAGTAATCCTAATGTGAGACTGAAGACTTTACCAAGATCCTAAAAGCCCATCTCCATTCTCAGGTGTTTTATAAAATATAAGGTCTTTAGCGTGAAGGGCTTTTATGGTAGTTAGTCCTTGCCCCATTTTGACCATAAGGCTGATCTTTTAACCCTCCCACTGTCTTCATGGGTGACCCCAACAGGAAAGTTGACCATTGAGCAGGGTTGATGGTGAGGTGGTGCTCACTCCTCACCCCTGCCACATGGACCTCAAGGGATAAACCATCAACCCTGCTCAATGGTCAACTTTCAAACGGTCACCTGGCAAACAGGTCCTAGGTGAGGGATCAGACAAGGAGCAGCCCGAAGACCTCTTATGATGATCTATATAAATGGAAACCACGCTCTCTAGCCTGGACGCGGGTCACCGGGGTCCCCCTTCTGGAGTCAGGCCTGGAGGTGGGGCATGTTGGAGAGCACCTGGTGGCCAGGCTTTCACCCATGGAGCCCGGCCGGGCATAGCCCGAAGATGAAATGTGGGTCCCCTTCCCATGGGCTCACCACTCGTGGGAGGGGCCAAAAGGGTCGGGTGCAGTGTGTGACAGGTGGTAGTCGAGGGCGGGGCCCTTGACGGTCTGATCCTCGGCTACAGAAGCTGGCTCTTGGCACATGGAATGTCACCTCTCTGGTGGGGAAGGAGCCTGAGTCTGTGTGTGAGGTTGAGAGGTTCCGACTAGATATAGTCGGACTCACCTCAACGCATGGCTCTGGCTCTGGAACCAGTTTCCTTGAGAGGTGTTGGACTTTCTACCACTCTGGAGTTGCTCTCACTGAAAGGCGCCGAGCAGGGGTGGGCATTAGGGCTGTCATGGTAACCGCAAAAATGAAATATCGCAATATGAAGAAACCCACCGCGCTGCATCATGGGCCACCGCGATTACCGAACTTGATTCAACTCAATGATGCATGTTGAGAAGGATGGCTGCACTGGTATCAAAATGAAACTTCGCTCCTTTGGGAGCACTTTGGTTTTCAGTACGTCAGCTGCTGCGCAGCCAGAGTCCTTGGCCGAGACAGAGCTGCCACCAGCGGCTAAAAAATAATAATAAACGCTCGGAGACCTGCTGAAGTCCCGAACAAGCACTGCTTCTGCAACCGTCCCGAAGAGAGTTTGAGCTGAGCTGGAGCTCACTCGCTACCTGTAGGAGGAATGCATCCACCCTCAGGAAACCCCTCTGACATGGTGGAGCAACAACCGGGAGAGATTCCCTTTGCTCGCCAGAGTCGCACGCAGGTACGTGTGCGTTAGTGCAACGAGCGCACCATCCGGGAGGGTTTTCAGTGTTGCTGGAAATGTTGCCACCCCTCTCAGATCCTCTCTCAAACCGTATATGGTTAACATGCTGGTTTTCCTTGTGGGTAACAAGGACGTGACCGAGCTATAAATCAACGTCATTCGTGTGTGTGAAAGTGAAAGTGAAATGATAGTGCCCCGCGCCTGGTACATGTAATTTTTTATGCTTGATTTTAAACAACTAAACAAAATGGGGACTTGTTTCTTATTTGTTAGATGCTGCAGCCAAATTTGCATTTAAAACTTTAACCTTCTCCTGAATTTTGTTGTTTTTAAGTTCAGTCGGACTCCGACTGTCGGAGAAACAAACGTTACTGCGATCTGTGTTGTTACTGCCCTTTGATCTGCATTCAGTAAAGTTTTATAAAAGAAAGCACGGCAATTTTTAACCTTTTTTAAATGTGTAAACATTATGTTTAGATAGTACTGCAATTAAAAAAAAGTGCTGCATTAATATCGCATACCGCAATATTAAGCCACCCTGAATCACCGCAGGGGGAATTCCTCAACCGTGACAGCCCTAGTGGGCATACTAGTTGCCCCCCATCTTGGTGCCTGTACACTGGGGTTTACCCCGGTGAATGAGAGGGTAGCCTCCCTCTGCCTACATGTGGGGGGACGGGTTCTGACTGTGGTCTGTGCTTATGCACCAAACTACAGTTCAGACTACCCACCCTTTTTGGAGACCTTGGAGGGGGTGCTGGAAAGCGCTCCTTCCGGTGACTCCCTCGTTCTGCTGGGGGACTTTAACGCTCACGTGGGCAACGACAGTGAGACCTGGAGAGGTGTGGTTGGGAGGAATGACCCCCCCCCATCTGAATTTGAGTGGTGTTCGAGAGCAAGACTTCCGAACGGTTTCGAGGAGATTCTGGTCCACCATCCGGCGCTTCGGGGGGGGGGGGGGGGGGGGGGGGTGCGTTACCAACACCATCTATAGTGGGGACGGTGTGAATCGGTGGGCAGAATACTTCGAAGACCTCCTCAATCCCACCGACTGGGGGTACTCCGGGAGTATGGGTACCAGGCCCTCTGATACGGGCTGTTAGGTCCCTGGATGACCGGTGTCAGAGCTTGGTCTGCATTGCCGGCAGTAAGTTGGGCTCATTCCCATGGACTCTGCCAAGGCTGCCCTTTGTCATAGATTCTGTTCATAACCTTTATGGACAGGATTTCTAGGTGCAGCCAAGGTGTGGAGGGCATCCGTTTTGGTGGCCTGAGGATCAGGTCTCTGCTTTTTGCAGATGATGTGGTCCTGTTGGCTTCATCAGAATGTGATCTTCAGCTTTCGCTGGAGCAGTTCGCAGCCGAGTGTGAAGCAGCTGGGATGAGAATCAGCTCCTCTAAATCTGAGACCATGGTTTGATTTGGAAAAGGGTAGAATGCCTTCTCTGGGTCAGGGATGAGGTTCTGCCCCAAGTGGAGGAGTTTAAGTATCTCAGGGTCTTGTTCATGAGTGAGGGAAAACTGGAGCGTGAGATCGATAGGCGGATTGGTGCTGCATCTGCAGTGATGCGGGCATTGTACCAGTCTGTCGTGGTGAAGAGCGAGCTGAGTTAGAAGGTGAAGCTCTCGCTTTACCGGTCGATCTACGTTCCTACCCTCACCTATGGTCATGAGCTTTGGGTAGTGACCGAAAGAACGAGATTGCAGATACAAGCGGCCGAAATGAGTTTTCTCCGAAGAGTGGCTGGGCTCTCCCTTAGAGATAGGGTGAGAAGCTCGGGCATTCGGGAGGGGCTCGGAGTAGACCTGCTACTCCTCCACATCTGGTCAGGATGCCTTCTGCATGCCTCCCTGGTGAGGTTTTCCGGGCACATCCAACCGGGAGGAGACCTAAAGGGAGACCCAGGACACGGTGGGGGGACTATGTCTCTCACCTTGCCAGGGAACGCCTTGGGATTCCCCCAGAAGAGCTGGCCCAAGTGGCTGGGGAGAGGGAAGTCTGGGCCTCTCGCCTTAGGCTACTGCCCCCGTGACCTGACTCCGGATAAGCAGATGAAAATGGATGTATGGATGGATGGATGGATTTTGCCATAACAGTTTTTTCAAAAAGTCAAAATGACCAATGGTGACATTGAAAAAGGTATTTGCAGGTGACTGACATGTGTGATCCTCTAACAGATCCTCTAACTTTCATTTGAGCAGAGAGGAAATTCTTTTCACGTGTGAACACTTGTAAGAAATGAGAGA